TAAAAGTAAAATGTAAATTTTTTTTACCGTTGGAAATCCAACGGTCTAGAAAAACTAGCCGTTGGAAATCCAATGGCTATCATAACGCAACGTCGCTGAGCCCAAGTGGGCTGACACATTTTCAGGAAAGCCTGAAACCCACTCGCGCCTTGTGCGCGCCTGAGAAACAGGCCAGCTTCTTGGTTAGTCCAAAACGTGCTGGGCTGTTGCCTGGTATGGGTTGGGTGCCAGGCAACTCCACGGGCTAGAGCAAATGGACTGAGGGCTAGCTTGTTTTTTTGGATTGAGGGCTGAGACATTTTTTTCTCGGTGGACTTGCTCTTAGGTTGTCCAGATAGGCCATCATTTAGGTGTGGCCTAATTGGATTATTAGTCCTGTGGTAATAAGGTAGTTGGAAAATAGCTCATGTGGTGAAAAATTTAGGATTTAAGCGCTTGTGGTGAAGTTTATTAGGATTTAGGCCTAAAATTGAAAATTTCGTCAACTCTTTGTTAATTAGCATGTGAGTCACACATATGAGGCTAAAACGAAACTCTTTGTTAATTGTTAGCACGTGAAGCTTACATGTGAGGCTAACATTATTTTTTTAGTCTCACATATTAGACTCATGTGCTAACAACTAACGGTGAGTGAGAAATTTTTTCAATTTTGAGCTTAAATCTCAGAGTAAATTGTAACAATGATCCCTCAACTTTAATCAAATTGGAGTAATGATCTTTCAACTAAAAATCCATTACCATTGGTCCCTCAACCTATCAAAATGTGTAGCTATAGTCATTTTCATCAATTTTGTGAAAATTTTGTTAAAATAAGTTATGTTGGAATAACCATTTATATAATTAGGGTCTCTCAACTCATCAAAGTGTGTAATTATGGTCATTTTCGTTAACTACGTCAAAAATTTTGTCAAAATGAGTTATGTTGGAATGACCATTGCTACAATTGGGTTAAAGTTAAAGGACAATTTCTCCAATTGAATTAAAGTTGAGGGACCAATGGTAATGAATTTTTAGTTGAGGGATCATAGCTGCACGTTTTGATGAGTTGAGAGACCAATGCTAATTAATTTTTAGTTGAGGGACCATTGCTTCAATTGAATTAAAGTTAAAGGATCATAACTACAATTTACTCTAAATCTCAACAAACTTCATCACAGGAGCTTAACTCTTTTATTTTTATTTTTATTTTTTTACCACAGGGCATCACATTCACGTCGCACATAAGGGCCGAGTGGGAAATAGACAAGTCAGTAGAAGATGTTGGCATTAGTTTGTGTGGAGGAAAATGATGCGGTTTGGCATAAATCTCGGACCCAAACTGTAATTCACGTGGTAACAAATAAAAGCAAGAAAGATCAGTTTCACCACATGTTAGTGTCTTTCGGTCCTCATTGCACATAATGAAAGAGATACTCACAAGAGTGCAATCGGTGACGCACTCAAGAAGTATGTCGAACAAAAATGCTTCAATGAGTCTTTTCAGTCTTCGAAATGATAGATTGTTAAGGCGAAGCTATCGGCCGATCCTTTAAATTAAAAAAAATGATTGCTATGTTGAAATAACGTTCGACCGAAATGATTGCTGTACTGAAATAATATTGGCAACTTGTTCATTTGTATTTTCTTTCTTCTACTTTCTCATATTTTTATATGATTTTATGATATTTGATAATGGGAACTGTTTAATTTTTTTTTAAGTTAGATTTACTCTGTAAAGAATCAACCAAAAATTGTTTAACTGTTTGATTTACATGGTCATAATTACAGACAACATGATTTATTTATTTATTAAATGAGCAACCGATTAGGTGTAAAATGATTAAACAATTTTAAATTTAATTAATTTTTGCATATACGGTCTTTAAATGATTAAATTAGAAAATAGACGGCGTATGCGCTGTATGATGAGAAGGTTGAAAAAAAGGTATTTAAATGAGAAGGTTGATAGAATTTATGGTAAAATAGATTAGGGTGTAAGTCATAGGGTGATGATGAGAAGAAGATTGAAAATAAAATATGTAATTGAAAAAAGGTAGGTAGCATGTTGCGATATCGATTCTTAGAAATGGGTAAGCTTCCCAAATCTGTCGGCAAGTTGTCGACCGTACACGTGTCAAGCACTGACACATAGAGAAGTTTGATTCGATTCACAGGACTTTCTCAAAGTATATGTAAAAAATAGAGCAGGATTCTCTCGAAACCTTTATTTTCATATGAAAATTAATGAAAATTATTTGAAAGTTTTGAGTTTTAACCATAAGAAAAAAATAAAGGATAAAGTGAATAATATCAGGATTGACATTTAAGTGTAAAAATATAATTTTTTGTTAAAATGAACAGTACCAGAAGTTTTTCGTTAAAGTTTCGTATTTTCATTCACTTTCCTTCTCTCTTTTTACACTTTATTTTTTTGTTTTATTATCTTTATAAAAAAAATTAATATTTCTACTGATTAATGAAACATCGTTTGTCAATCAAAAAATGGTGAAAAGACAATTTAGTTTTCTATCACAAAAAAAAAATGATGAGCAAAAATGTAATTTCACATGTTCAAATTTTACTATTTTTTATTAAAACTTCACCTACAGATAATGTTAAAATATCTCTAATATTTAAATTAAAAAAAAAAACCTCCTACTCCCCCTTCTCCCCCCCCCGGTTCTCTCTCTCTCTCCCTCTCTTCTTCTTATTTTCTAAAAAAATGTATTTATACACCTAAAGTGTGTAAGCAAATGCTAGTAAGATATTAACGTGACTTAATCGTAACTGTTCAAGGAAAAGAAAAGGAGGAAAGAGATACTATACTATACTATACTAACACAAGTGATGCATTATTGTATTGAATATGGCGTTATGTAAGAGAGTCGTTGAGGCTTTAAAGAGAACAGGTGTCAGCAGCAGCACGTGAACTTGTGTTATGCGGCCATCGTAGAGCGGGGGGTCTGCCTCAATCTTCTCCCTTCTCCATGCTTCAAGATTCTTGCTCATCCAAGAGTTGCCAAAAGGGTAGAAGATATTATCTCTTTGTACATCTCCATATCTTAATTTCTTCAATCTTCTTTTCTCCATAAACACTTTTTATTATATTTACCTTCACATATGGAATGAAATCCATCTCCGGATTTATAAAGAAACCAAATATTTAGACAATCCATTTTACATCGTGTAATCCTTATTATTTTATCACACCGCCTCACTATACAAATCACGCCCTAATATCTCTCTCTCTCTTTCTCAAATGGCCGCATTTTCGGATCCGTCTGCTCTATGGTGTACGATTCTTAGGTAATTGAAGAGAAATTGAACTTGGACCTCGTATGAGGTCTTTAATTATAAAAACATTTGGTAACGACGTTTATCTGATAATCTGATTATAATAGTTCCCACACCAAATGAAATCAAATTGCATAAATAATTACGAATTTGTCGGCCACCTCGACTCGAGTTTTTCTCTTAGTCTAAGACTTTGATGTAGAAATGCTCGTATTTAAAAAAGAAAGAAGAAAAGAAACTGATTTACCGACATCCGACAGATGTGGGATATCTAAAGTCTAAAGATAGACCATGGAAGAGACTTTTTACAAAATATATTTTCTTACCTTTTTTTTTTTTCCTGTTTGAAAAACGGTGCTAAATCTAATGATACAAATAAAATTAATAATAAATTTAGACTGAAACATCCAAAGCCAATTTTTATGAACAAAACTAATTGAAGAGGAGAATTATCAAACTAAAAATTGCCTAAATCTAACTCAAGGTTGTAGGTCCTTAAACCGTCCGGCTTCTATGTAAGTGCATAATCTAATTCTACTAGTAATTTATCCGTCCTAATCTTCATGCCAATTGTACGCTTAAATAAAATCCTCGTAGCTCAATAGTGAGAATCTCACATGTGCCTAAATTAACGCAAAACTCAAAAATCTATTTACCATCAAGATCTCTTAAAACACCACCTGCTCCAATAGAATTATTATTTCGCCCATTTGTCAGCCCAAAAATTTACCATATAAGTATTTCCAATTCGCATAGTACCCCTCATGCAAAAGTTTAGTCCCTTCAAGAACAAATTTCCAATCGCAAGAATAGTCTAAAGCAGTTTAATTATTGAGTAACTGACCCATATCACCTTTAATATACTTGCTGTCTAAAACTTTTGCCCAAAGACCATTATACCCCTGCATCAATCTCAAAGAGTTCTTAGCAAGAAGAGAGGTAGAGATGAATTTGTACCTCTCATGTTTTTCAAGCCAAACCCACCAAAACACTTTGAAAGGCGAACTTTGGGTCCATTTAACCAAATTAACTTTATTTTTGGATTGAGTGGAGTCCTAGACAAAATTCTTATTCTTATTTCCAAAAGGCTAATCATATTTTCTTATTTTAATTACCCATCATTGTTTCGCGCGTACACGTCGACGTAGTATGGATAATGATATGGCATGGATTTATTACGTGGCAATGGAGAAATTTTTGTAGATAACGTGTTACAATACATGTCACGTGTTTGTATTACTTTACGTGTTATAACATAATTGAACATTAGTTTAACATATTTGAATTTTAAGTCACGTATTTATATCATTTTACGTATTATAATATAAGTAAACACTAAGTTTGATATAATCAACTTTAAGTACCAATATGAAGTTGTTTCATAAAAACGGTGATATTTTTCAAGTTTAAAAAATTCATGTCACGTGTTTATATTATTTTATATGTTATAATATAGACGAACATTAAGATTAATATATCAGACTTTTAAGGTATATTAATAAATTAAATCATGTGATATATTTTAAGTTGAATAATAACATCACATGCCCGTGTATTATGTGTTCTAGATACACATGAAAAGTCCTAGTATGGCCAATGGGCATTTTTGTAGTTTCAAATCAGACCACGGATAAGCTCGAGTATCAGTTGTTTGCTTATTTAAAGAAATAACGAAAAAGAAAGGTAATAAATTTTCGCATTTTCCTTATAAATAGGTACATCTTCAGTTTCATATCTCATAAAACATAACACTACTACACACAGAAGTTAGAGAGAGTGAAAATGGCAGGAATCGTGAGCAAGATTGGAGATGCCCTCCACATTGGAGGAAACAAGAAAGACGGCGAGCACACGGACAAGAAAGGCGAGCACACGGACAAGAAAGGCGAGCACCACACGGACAAGAAGGACGAGCACCACAAGGACAAGAAAGACGACCACCACAAGGAGAAGGACGGCGACCACCACAAGAAGGACAAGGGCGACCACAAAGACAAAGGCGAGAAGAAAAAGAAGAAGGATAAGAAGAAGGATGGCCATGGGAGCGGCAGCAGCAGCAGCGACAGCGATTGATCCGCCCTTGCTACTTCGCATGTGCATGCATCTGCCCAATAATCAGGTAATTATTCACAAAAGAATTTTGATTAGTTCGATTTAATTAAGAAACAAAAAATTAGTCATTTAATTTTGATCTAAATGTGATCAATGGCAAGGTTTAATTAATTCATTTATTTTTCAAGTTTAATTTAATTTGTTAATCTCTATGTAATTATATATGTAAGTTTGATTTGCCTTGTAGGTGTTTCATGTTTGGGGCGTCAAGAGAGCATGCTCAAGTCCTGTTTCCTTTTCGTAACGGCCAATATTTACATTCAAAAAGAAAAGGCTTCTTTCACAGCCCAACCAAAAACCCAAAAAAACGTGTTTATTTTCTTGTTACTAGGAAGTTGTAAAATGTTTCTGGGAAACCTTGGAAAGCCTTTGTGATATGAAATAATAATGTGGGTGAATGCTCAGTACTATCTGTGTTAATTGATTTAGTTGTTTAATATATCTGTACTGCCCATCATAGTAGCGTTTTGTAATTAAACAAGACATTTAAGTGTTATTTAGTATTATTAGCTTATAGGTATTCTTCTTCGTAAGTAAGATTTTAGATTCGAATTTTAAAAATTACGAGCTTGATACTAATTGATGCACACACCCCCAGTATAACTATACATGTTGTATATATATTAAAAAAAACTATAGATGCGGAGGTGTGGCCAATAAACACATACTTCTGATCGCATTGAGAGATCCATACAAGTCAATTTCAATCTTATGGACTCTATTAGACTATTATCCCGTCCCATTAGTCCACTTCACATAAATCTAAAAACTTAAAACGGTTTCTCTTTCTCTTTCTTAAACGGTCAGATATCTCGGTATGTCGGTATGGGAGCTCCAGATAAAGAGATTCCTAATGGTTCTCATTCACGGACCCGGCCTCTCTGCTCTCCAACTTTTGATACTCATTCTTTTTTATTCTGTGGTTAAGTCATGTTAACCTTTTATATTAATTTTTTAATAAAAATAATAAGAGAAGAAGTAATAGTAATATAAAATGTTGACGTGGTTTAACTGTGATCGTACAAATAGGAGGGTATGAGAGTATATGGTAAATGAGAGGGCGGAAGCTAGGTCCCTCATTCACTTCTCATCTTTCTTAAGAAGATAAGCTTGTCGAATTTTTATCCGACTTGTGATGTGTTCATGTTAGATTAGAGGAATATTACTAGATCATAATACTAAGTGATTTCTTATATTTTTCAAAAATGACGACTTTTGTAGCCTAAGTTCATGTTATTAATAGCAATCGAAACGATGGTTAGAGAGCGGTGAACAAATAGTTTGGTTTAGCTTGTCTAAATAGTTGTATTGTATTCATTACTTAGTACTACGGTTTGATAATATTTATCTTCATTTGTAAATGAGAGACTTAAGTTTAATTCTTGTTAAAAAGGCATTCGAACCAAATTATTATGGTTAGTACATTGTGGTAGCTCATTTCTCACCTCCTTAATGTAAGTAATATCGTATGTATTTAAAAAAATTAGTTGTATTGTTTTCAAAAAAGCATGCTTATATGTACGTAAGAAAAACGAAGGTGCATTTTTGTTCATACAAAGATGCAGAATATATATTTTTTCTTTTGACTTGTAAGATATAGATGTACATTTTTACTCGTAGCAAATAACAAGTGAATTGATTATTTTAAATTCCCATATATGATTTAGTCAAATTAGCTAGAGCAGTGTACTTCACATGTAGATAAGTACAATGTAATTATAAAAAAAGAAAATTAGATTTTTTTATTATTACAAGCTATTTTTTGTATTAATTTGCACGTGGAAGGAATGAAGGTTTCAACCTGAGATCGTAATATTTTGAAGAGAGATCTAACCACCAATTTCATAGAAAATCAATTTCAAAAAGAAATATATATGGATAAAGAAATTATGAAATATGTTGGGCTGTCTCGAATTCTAAGTTTCTAACCTGATAGCCCTAGTTTTGGCACGATGGATCACCTCAGTTAGGTACAGAATCAGAAAATGTGGACTTCGATGGGCGACCAAGGATAACATACATGTAATTTATGACAAGTACTAATCAACTTAAAGAACAAAAAGATGACAAGTGGTGGATTGTTATGATGATTAGCGTCTTATTTTTTAATTCACTACTTTTCGAATTCAAATCTTTTCTTCTTAAGTTTGTAATTTAGTATCGTAATAACGCTTATATTAAAAATAAAAATAAAAATTCAATTTAAGACAAAACAAAAGAAAAATAAAATAAAATAAAAGTACCGAGGTAGTTGACAATTTCTCACAATAAATAAACGCACATAGAAATACAGAATCCAACAACTCTAGCAGCAAAAGTTAGAAATATGGGTGTAAATCTAGTTGAACAAAACCAACAAATTAAAGACATCGAAAATAGAGGAAGGGCACATCATACATCCATGCAGCAGCCAACTGTATAAGTTAACCATCAACTCACCAGGTGAAAAATCAGCAACCCGACCCACTGTTTTGCTTTTCCTTTCCTTTTCCTTTCGGAGAAAGCAACCTAAACCAGTGGACTGCAGTTAATTTAATTCACCTTCTCCCACTGTTTTGCACTTCCTTTCCTTTCCTTTTCCTTTCGGAGACAACAACCTAAACCCTATATATATATAGCCACAAACAAATCTCTTTCTGTATAATCATCTCTATACATATTCACCACCGTTTCAACTTCAATTCAAGCACAACCAGTTTAGTTCTACTTTCAATGGCTTCTCTTGTTCTTCTGTTGTCCGTAATAGGGCGTCACAGCAGTAACAACACAGATCCAAGTAACTTCTGGGTGACAACAAGTTCACCTCCTCCTTCTTCTTCTTGTTCTAATTCTGCCGGTGCTGCCGCCTCCGCCGCTTCTAATTCTTTTACCGCCGCCATAAAACCGCTGATCAGAAATGGAAGCTGCAAATACAATGAGAATATGGGAAAGTTGGATGATTATCTGCAGTTAGAGTCAAGAGTTTGTGTGGATTCAGTTTGGCCATAGAGATCCATGTCCTGTTTTGCCATCTTCAAAATATTAACCGATTTGTTAATATTTAGGTCTATTTATATTTTCTTGTTGATCTTTAAATTAGAGTCCGTTACATTTACATCTTCTTAAGTTTGTCGTGGTTTTCATTTAACTCCCTCCAGTTGTATAAAGTTTTAAAGTTGCAATAAGAAAACTTGAATGCGATTGCTTGCTATAAAGTTTTAAAGTTTGACACGCCCTTACAAAACTGCAACTTGAAAGGTTGCTTTTCTAATCAATAACAGATCATGCCTTGGGGACCATCGAATGGGCCCTGAGACCTATAGACATAAACTTCATCCAAAATTAGGTTTAACTTCGAAAGATTCACCGAGAAATGCTACAAGTTGTTTGTGACATACCCTTCACTCTGTGATCCAATTGCCAAAGTGAAACCATAAAAAAATTCATTTCTAAAATTCCACATAAAATGAAAAATGAAAACAATTACCAATTAACTTTGTAAAAGTTTAATTATTTATTTGAAAGCTAAAAAAAATAGCTATTCTTAAACTAAACACTAATCTGTAAATTGCAATGATTATTAAACGAGCAGGACACATTTTCATTAAACGTATCAGTTTTCTTCTATTGAGTTACAACAAGGAATACAGTCGAATCAATCGGTGCAATGTCTAAATTTGGAGCTGAGCTACGGGCTTCATTGTTCACTAGAGTCAACTATGATTTCTGGTGCATCAAGATGAAGATAATATTTAAGTCTCACAATCTGTGAAAATTTATTGAAGAAGTTTATGAGCTTCCCTCAGATTCAGATATGAAGAGCTGACTGAGAAGCAACAAATTGTGGCTGAAGATATTACTGCCCGCGATGCTAAAGCTCTGGGATTTATTCAAAGAGCAGACTCTGATGAGATCTTTCCTCGGGTTGCAAATCAAGAGACGGCAAAGACAGCTTGGATAAGCAAGAATATAGAGGTGATTCACATGTCCGAGCTGTGAAATTACAAGGTCTTCGACGAGACTTTGAATATGCTCGTATGAGAATGATGAAATGTTGTATGCTTATTTGACTAGATTGTTTTATCTAATTAATCAAATGTATGGTGAAGAATTGTCAAATAAGAGAATAGTTGAAAACTTGGTCTTACTCCATCTATTGGCAATATAGTGTTTGTGATTGAGGAAACTAAGAAGAGAATTAGATGAAATTGATTCTACTGAAATTGTAGCTACTCTACAAGGCCCTGAGCAGAGATTATTGAGACATGTTGAAGGAAATGAGGTTACTGAAAAGGCTTTTAGTAGATAGCTCACAAGCTAATAGTTCTAAGGGCAAATTTTTTTGGTAGAATAAGGAGAAGAAAGGTGGATTTAAGGCTGGTGATAGAACTGGTACATTGGTGAAGTATAATGGGAACAAGGAGAGTTCAAAGGAAGCTTGTAAATATTATGATGTTTCACTATGACACGTTGGTTCAAAGGTAAGCCTAATAGGTGTGACAAGTTTGGTCATATAGCTAAAGACTGCAATAGCAAGGTGAAACAACTTGTTCACCATGCTAACATGTAGAAGAGGAAGCCTCAATGTTTTATGCTTGCCATTCTGTAGAAGTTGTGAAAAAAAAAAAAAAAAACCTAGTGGGTGTAGTAATCATATTACATCACATGAATCTCTCTTGATTGATAGTGGACAATGGATCACATGACATCACATAAATCTCTTAAGAATAAGTCTCTGACTTTCAAGGTGAAAATGGAAAATGGTGAACTAGTTATTAACACAGGATCCTTTTCAATACTTAAAATAGTACAGGTCAAGTGAAAAACTGAGAAAAGCTCAAGAAAGATCAAGGCCCAAGGAGGAACATGAAGTCCATGGCCCTGTGGAATTCAAATGAGGCATTTCAGAGCGCTCACTAGTTTGATCCGATTGAGCAACATAAAGTACTTTTTGACTGTCAAGTTCACGTGAGAAGACTGACAACTTTATGACACAATACTTTAAGAGTGGCTTACTCAGACAACAATTAGGCCATGTGTCAATCATCAATCAAAAGCAGAAGTTTAGGACGAGACGTAAAGGTAGTCAGCCCATGGCTTGGGAATGACATCGTTGACTAGTCAAGGCCGAACAGTTCACTCAACACACATTGATTTGAAAAGCCGTGCAATCCTAACTAAGCAACTGTCACTTCACCATTGAATATTGACTGATGGGTAAAAAGGTTATCAGAATGCTAGTCTATATAGATGGCACATTAAATGCCAGAAAAGTAAAGCCAAGTGAGCCCAAAGCTTTCTGGGTTTATTGAGGGTGTATATAAAGGAGTGGAAACCTCTTGTAACTAAAGGTGCTAAAAGAAATTAGCTAGGAAATGAAATTAAAAGCTATTTCACTTTTTAATTTTGGAAGAAGTTTTAAGTCCAAATATCCCATCTTTATCGATTATAAGTATATGCCAGATGCTAAAATTGACAAGAAAAACAACTCATGCTTGAAGTATGATTGCAACAGC